ACGTGGCCTCAGTTCACCCATCACTGCCAGAACCAGCTTTCTGGTGAGCAAGTCAGTGAAGCCCTTTTCTCCTCTGCCACTCTTGTGGCCCAGCCCTCTGCCCCATCCCTGTAACCACTCTGTGACTCATCTACCTATTTCCTTGCAGCATCATGCCCCCGGGACTTTGCACATGCCTTTCTTTCTGCCTGGAAATGAAGACCTAATCCGTTAACAATGGACATTAGGTTCTCCAGTATCTCCCGTATCTATTTTGTATAGAATTTACCGTGTTATTTTAGGCTACTTACAGGGGTATATCTTCCACAAGACAGAGATTTCCTTAGTTCAGGGATCCTGTCCTGTTCATCTTTTGTCCCCAGAGCCTACTATGGTCCATAAGACACGGTGAATGGCCTCGGCACGGAATAAAACAAACAGAAATAGTTCTTTCTTCCCGAGTGGGCTCTCTGCCTCAGCAGCTGACTTTCCTGGAGACATGCTCCCTCAGGCTCCTCGCCCTCCCGCGACGCTCAGGTGAAGGGCAGCAGGGCGGCTCGCCGCCTTCGGGCTGGGCTGGGCGGCTGCCCGCGCGCCTGCGCTCTCCGCTGCTCCGCTCCGGGCGCGTCTGTGCGCGTGTGTCTGTTTGGAGAGGCTTGGCGGACAGGCGAGCGTGGGGGGAAGAGTTCAGCCTGAGTCACAGTCTCATTCACTGGTTTCTTGACGCTGTCTTGCCAGGAGGCTCCCAACTACTCCTGCACCTTCAAGGTCCCCACCTCCCGGCGCTCCACTCTCAGACCGACAGACAGACACGCCGACTCCCGAGTGAGTAGCCGCGGCTCGTGCTCCCTGGCAGCTTGGCCAGCTGTCCTCGGCGGTCCTGTTCTCCCGCTGGCTGGCTGTGTGTGTGTGTGTGTGTTTGCGTGCCCGCAGTAGGTGTCCCCGGGGTCCCGCGCTGGCTTGGAGAGCCGCCGGGGTCCGGGTGCCCATCCGAGGCTGCGCTGCGATGGGGGTGCCCTCTCGGCAGGAGCTCGGAGCCCCGGGCGCGGGGAGCGAGTTTGCCGGGATTCCCCGGCTCGGCGCGCGGACGCCGGTGGGGTTCCCCGGGAAGGCGCCTGGGTAAGGAGGCGGCGGGGAAGCCCCGGCTGTGAGCGGCTGGCAGGCCAGGAATCTGGGAGCGGGTCTGGCACAGCAGAGCCGAGGGAGACGCCAGAGCGGCCGCCCCTGGATCCCATCCTCTCCGCCTTTCTCCCTTACCCTCCCTCCTTTCTTTTGTCAGTAGCATCACAAAAGCGCGTCGCAGAATGAGACCCAAAGCAGCCAAGTCCGGCTCTCCTCTCCCACCTGGTACACGTCCCCCCGGGCGGGAGAAATGGAGTGGGAGTCCCGGAGATCAGGGGCCCGGGCTCACCCTGGGGACACACCTGTTTTCGGCTCGTGCTGAGTTCAAGCTGGGTGCTGGATCCCGCGAGGGTTTCCAACACATACGCACCGGGGTGTGCGCGCGCCCCGGGCCCGCGCTCCCAGGGTGCAATCGATGTAAATAGCATACCTCCTTACCGACCCGCGCGTACCAAGCCAGCTCCGTGGGCTCCTAGCGCGCTGTGATAGCGCGCCGGCATCTCTTTGTTTGGCGTGGCTTCCCCACCCCTCTGCAAAGCAAATTGATTTTCGGTTTCTCTTGACACCGTGCGCTGGGACTTCGAGTGGGCCGCAGCCTCGAATGCCCCTGGTATTTGTAATTGAATAGTTCTCTCCGGCGGCAGAGGGCAGGGTTGTTATTTTTAGTGTTGGGAATAAAGAGGCAAGCACGCTGACCTTTTTGCTGCTGCCTTGGGCTTTGAATACGTGTCTGCAATTGATGAGGAAGACGGATTCACATCCTGTCGCGCACACGTGCCTGTGTACGCACATTTCTACACACATAGCTTTCCTCCTTTCTTTAATTTTCTTTTTAAAAATCGGGACTGGGGGGGGTGCATTGTGTTTGTAAAACCAAAAGAACAAACAAACCAAAAAACTTTCCTTTGTTCTTTTGAGCCTTTTCTATTTTGAGTAATGGAGTAGGAGTGCCTAAAGGTTGCAATTAGTTCACTCGAATAAAAGACACTGTCTCTGAGTCAGAGCTGCCGGGTTGATAATTATTAACATAAAAGCAGATGCGCTGTTTAAGGCAAAAGGGGCTGGGCGGGGGCAGGTCCACAGTAGACAAGGAGGGAGGGTCTCTGCCGACCGCCTGCTGCTTATTGTTCGGGCACTGGGGACTGCTGGCTGCAAATGCCTCCTCCTCCAGGGCTTCGCTCCTCGTTCGTCCTTCGGTCCCACTTGGGACTGTCAGGGTCCCCCAGCGCTGTCCCCCGGAGCGCTGGGGCGCCATCCGCAGCTGCCCTTCGCTGACTGCCCTGTCTCTGCTTTGCAGGTTGGCAGCTTTGCGCCCGAGGGTGTTGCGAGCCGAGGCGGCGAGGACAGGGCGCCTCTGGCCCAGCCAGCACGCGGGATGCGGCGCGGGCAGCAGCGCTAAGCTCCCCTGCGCTGGGCACGGGGCGTACGCGCTCCGGGTGGCTGGCGGAGCGGCGGCTGAGGAGGGGATGCGCCCGGGACGCGCAAGGCTCCTGCCGCGAGCTACCAACCCGAGGTGGACCCTAAGTAGGGCTCATCGCAGGACCGCGCGGACCCCTGCCCTCCGGGGCACGCGGCTGCGGAGCCTCGGGGCCGCGGCTGCGGTCAGGATGCCCTGGGCACCTCTCTGCTGGTGAGGATGCCCTGCTGCGCGGCTCTGCATCCCCAGGCCCGGTCCCTGGTGGGCACGACTGTCTGGGCCCGGCTTCGGCCCCTCCTGCGGGTGGATGAAAAGCGCCGGAAGTCTTTGAGTGCGATCAGCGATCGAATCTGAATTCTAAGAGCCATGGACGAAGGCACGGGGCTGCAGCCCCAGGCGGGAGAGCAGCTGGAAGCACCGGCCACAGTAGGAGCTGTCCAAGAAAAGTGCGAACCAGAGACCTTTAGGTCCCAGAGTTTACCCGCTCTGAACAGCGCCTCCTGCAGGCCAGACCTGAGTCCCGCGAGCATAGGCGCCAAGCCCGCCTCCGGCTGTACAGATTCTTCTAGACATCAGGAGTTGAAGCCAAGCCCCGGCCCGCGGGCCCCCAGCCCGTCCGCCCCGTCAACTTCGGCAGAGACGGCAGGGCTGGTGGAATGTAACCAGCGGGTGGAAGTCAGCAAAACCATGTCGGTGTCCTCCACTCTGGCCATGCTGCAGGGGAGAAGGTGCCTCTACGTGGTCCTCACTGATTCCCGTTGCTTCCTGGTTTGCATGTGCTTTCTGACCTTCATCCAGGCATTAATGGTCTCCGGGTACCTGAGCAGCGTCATCACCACCATTGAAAGGCGCTACAGCCTGAAAAGTTCCGAGTCGGGGCTGCTGGTCAGCTGCTTTGACATTGGGAGCCTGGTGGTGGTGGTTTTCGTCAGCTACTTTGGCGGCCGGGGGCGGCGGCCCCTGTGGCTGGCAGTGGGGGGTCTCCTCATCGCCGTGGGGGCTGCCCTCTTCGCTTTACCTCACTTCATCTCGCCTGCATACCAGATCCAAGAGTTGAACGCCTCAGCCTCCAACGACGGCCTGTGTCAGAATGGCAACTCCTCGCCCACTGTGAAGCCACCCACCTGCCTGAAGGACTCGGGAGGAAACAGTCACTGGGTCTATGTGGCTTTATTCGTTTGTGCACAGATTCTCATTGGAATGGGCTCCACACCTATTTATACCCTGGGACCAACCTACTTAGATGACAATGTCAAGAAAGAAAACTCATCCTTGTACTTAGGTAAGAGTTTCTTGTCTTCTTAGATAAGCTTGAACTCAAAAGTCACAAGGAAACACATTTTGCTTGATGTTATGTATTTTGTATATGTGTTTAAACATTGAGCTTCAGTATACTTTTTGTTTCCTTCTTTTCTTTTTGCCTTAGTGTGGTGTGTTTTCTGTTGGGGAAAGAATCCAGTAGTTGAGAGTTCTTTGAATTTTCAGACTCCCACTTCACATTTATCTTTTCCCAAGTGATACAGACTTTTAACTGTGGGGCCGTGCTTTTCTCTCTTGCTGCCTGTCTTTAGAAAAACTCTGATTTATGAGGTTTATCCTCTCAAAGATGTCCCTCCAGAAGGGCTCAGGAAGGAACAGGAGTAGCTGGTGTGTGGAGTGAGGTTATTTACATCTTTCATCCCCTGCTGCTTCTCATTCCTGCCCCAACAGCAGGGTTAATGGAGCACCCAGACTACATTGAACATGCTTTATCGCCTCCCTGTCTGTATTGTTTGCATATCATCTGGGTCACTATTTAAAAAAGAACTTGAGTGATATCAAATGACTAGGTTATCTTTATGCAGAAGCAACATCACAGGTTGTAAAGTTTATCCAAAGCTATTTTTATTGTTGCTTTGAAGACCCTCAATTACTTGAACTTGGGAGAAGAATCATTACTATTTTCTGAAAAGTGGTGGCTCTTGGACAGTGAAAGGGCAGTGAAAATGATACTCAAGTAAGAGGGTTATGTTTTTCCCCAGTACAACTGCAGCCCCCAGAATTGGTTATAGAGGCTGTCTGAGCCATTTATAGTCCTCAGTAACTGGCCCAGTTGCCTTAGAATGAGAATTTTATAACTTAGTTTTTTTTTATTAAATGCAAGAGAAAGAAATTTCTACGGCAGAAAGGAATAGCTTGCTTGTTACATTGCCTCCATGTTTTAACATTATGACAAATTTTCAAACAGAAAAGTTAAAACAACTGTGCAATGAACACCAGTATATCCACTACCTAGATTCAGTAATTGTTCATTTTGTCCTGTTTGTTTTATCAACCTGTGTGTGTGTGTGTGTAGAAATATATATTAGTTTTGGGTGGGAGGCTAAGCCCTTTGAAAGTGATTGCAGACACCTTTAGGCTTCAGCCCATATCTTCTGAAAATAAGGACATTCTTTTATATAACTCAGGAGCTTAAACATTTTAAGAGAGTTAATAACCATTTCATCTTATCAGATATCCAGTCCATATTCAGATTTCCTTAGTTGGCTACCCAGTGTCTTTTATAACTATTTATTTTTTCAAATCAGGAGCCAGTCAAGATTCACTCATACATTGCATTTGGCTGCTAAACCTTCTTCGCACTTTGTAATCTAGAACAGTGCTTCAACTTTTTTTTTTTTTTACCACATAGACTTTTTGAAGGGACAAAACTAGTTGATTTGTGGAATGTTCCTCATTCTAGATTTACCTGATTATTTCCTCACGGTGTCACTTACTTTGTTCCTCCATTTCTCATGTTTCTTGTAAACTACCAGTCCAGTCTAAAGGCGTGATTCGATTCAGACAAAACACGTTTGGCTATACTACTTTGTAGGTGACACTGTGTATTTTCTATTACATGCATCTGGCCATTCATTAGTGTTACTGAGTTTAATCACTTGACTGAGTTGGTGAGTGCCAGGTCTCCCCATTGTGAACATACTCTTTGAAAAAAATAAGTCATCTTTAGAGTGACTCTGTAAACATCCCAATTGTTCTCTGTATTCTTGCTGATCTTTGCTTCCATTTACTTTGAAAACTTGAATCTCCTTTACGTTCCATTCCTGGGTACCAGTGATACAAATTTGCTTCATGAAAAACCCGGGCAGAGCCCCACACATAGGGAGAACCTCCACTAGGCCCCCGAGGTTTAACTTTTCTGGAGGTGATTGCACATCAAGAATATGCCAGCAAGTGCATATTCTGTGCTACTTATGGGAAGACCAGAAATGAGACATAGTCCCAGCATCCGAGGTCCCTCCAGTGTAATGAAGAAATATTTCCAGTTTAAGGTAAGGGTGTGAAGTGACCTGTGAAAGAGGAATAAAGTTCCTCAAAAGAGATTTGCTCTTCCCCCCTCTTCCTCCTCGTCTTCTTTTAGATATTGACTAATAATTGTGTTTTTTGTTTTGGAAAATATTTTGATGGATGCCTTAGGACACATTCTTTGGAAAACTCTGGAGAATTCTGCTTTGTATTAAATGGATCTCACTAAAAGCTCCAGTAGTTTGAGTCCACGAATCTCACATATATTATTTTATTTAATGTTCTCAATGTCCGTATGAGATTTCCCCTGCTTTATGAATGAGAAAACCAAGGCTCAGAGAGTTTAAGTGACTTGCTCATGGGCTTCAAATACGCGCCTATCCAATCCCAGAGCCCTTGAACTTGCCTCCATGCTGCATGTTCTTTGGCAAGGGGATCTGAGAGCCGACTGAAACCAAAGGATGGCTCATGTTCAGTAGCATTCTGAATATGGTGCAGAAGGTGCAGAACTGAACTAAAGCCATCAAAACATGATCAAAACAAGATCATTCTGTAGACCTTAGACCTTTTAAAGCAGCTTTTTACAGATTACCTGTGTACAAGTTCAGATCAGAGAGACCAATATATTCTTAGAACATGAGCAGTGTTAACCTAATATGATGTGGCATTTTTCCTAATGAGTAATTGGTGATATATCTTTGTTATTTCCACAAAACTGTTCTTCCATATTACCTTGTGCACTCCCCACCCTTTTCTTAACTTTTTGTCAGTCTTTCTAACTGATTACAACCACAGAAGAAGAAGGAAATAAAAAAGCAGATAGCAGGTTAGTAATTGCAGGCAGTAACAAATATCTGAATTAATGTAAAAACCGTTGACATGGAATGTAAATGTTTATCTTAATCTTTTGAATGTTCCGGTATTAACATTCCGGCCGCTTTCAGTGTAAAAGAGATATGGTATAGATGAGATAGAGCTGCCTTTACACCCATTAAATGCCCTAACTCTTTCTGCAGGGAGAGAGGTTCAGTGTTGACCCGGCGCACAGAGAAAGCTTTGTAGGTATGAAGAAGTAAGGTTAGCAAATGGGCCATGATTTGTAACAGTATCTCAAGGAGAGGGAGAAAATGTGACCTTTTGGGGGAACAAGAAATTCATGAACCAACAGGAAAGGAAACAAGAAAGAAGGGCTAACCAGATGGGAAAAAGGCAAAAAAAAAAAAAAAGTACATTTCTAGAATAGAAAGCCACAACTCCGATTGGGTGATTCTCAAAATGATTAACGATGGGCTGGCCATTGACCAAGTGGTGTGGGGACAGCCACTCCACCCCTCTGGTGTGTCTGCCCTCACTTCACACCACAGAGAAGGGTTGGCATCGACATGGCATCTTAGAAAGAGCACCAGCTCTCGACGCAGCGGATCTCTGTTTTAGTCTAACTTTCCCAGTGACTGGGCATGAGACTTTTGATGAATCCCTTGACTTTTCCCAGCCTCTGTTTCCACATGGGCATTATTACATTTGTTCCCATCATTGTAATGTTTTGAGGACCAAACGGGATTATGTGTGTGCAAACACTGGGCCAACTGTGAGAGGCAGTGCTTTGCTCTGTTAAAGCCAAATTCAGACTCATCCCAGAGAGCAGACAGAGTGAGGAGCAGGAGATATTTTACTCCATCTGAGTATGAAAACCTTTAAACATATGTTTTAATAATTGGGGAGAAGAAAAGGAGCATTATGTAAGAAAGTAAAACATTGTATAGGAAACACTCCTTAGACATTATAAGGAAAATCTTTTTTTTTAAAATATATTTTGAATATTTAGTTGTCCATGGTTTTTTTTTTTTGTTGTTGTTGTTGTTGTTGTTCTGGAATATTGACTTTATTCCCTGTGTTGTATAATATATTCTTGTAGCTTACTTTGTGCATAGTAGTTTGTACCTTTTTTATTCCTTACCCTTATATTGCGCCTCCCCCTCCCCTCTCCCTACTGGTAACAATTTATTTTTTTCTCTGTATCTGTGATCTTTTTTTGTTATATCCACTAGTTTGTTGTATATTTTAGATTCCACATTTAAGTGATTTCCTACAGTATTTATCTTTCTCTGTCTGACTTATTTCATTTAGCATAATACCCTCCAGATCCACCAACGTTGTTGCAAAAGGCAAAATTCATTCCTTTTTCATGGCTGAGTAGTATTCCACTGGGTACATAGACATATATATACACACCACATCTTCTTTCTCCATTCCTATATTGATGGACACTTAGGTTGCTTCCATATCTTGGCTATTGTAAATAGTGCTGCTATGAACATTGAGGTGCATGTATCTTTTTAAATTAGTGTTTTTGTTTCTTTCAGGTTTATAGTGGAGTGGGACTGCTAGGTCATATGGTAGCTCCAGTTTTAGTTTTTTGTAGAAACCTCCACACTGTCATAGTGCACCAGTTTACATTCTCGCCAACAGTGTACAAGGGTTCCCTTTTCTTCTTCTTTTTTTTTTTTTCCCCCTGCGTCTCCCCTGGGTTCCCTTTTCTTTGTACAGGGAAATCTTGATCAGTGTTGCAGCAATGTTATATTCTGATTAACTGAATTTTCTGAGACCTCAAGATTTTACTACCAGAACTTTCTACCTGTCAACCTTTGATGAACACCTTTCTTTAATGGAGGAACATTTACATAATGTACATTTGCACCTAGTGTAATGTAACATAAGTTCTTCTGAGGTTTGTGTCCCAGCTTCACCATTGCGGGTCTTCCTTTGTCCACATAGACTGTGCAGGATGTTGGTGAGCAAGAACTGGTCCTGAATCCGGAATTAAAAAAAAGAAAGCCAGGAAGTAATCACTATTCTTTTAAAATCGTTTCTTGATGACAACTTCTTCTTCTTTAACATTTCTTCAGCCTTTTAAAAGTAGAATGAGCTTGAAGTAAGTTAAGTTCTGTTTCATCAAGATTTTATAATAGTATAAACATTGTGTATATATGTATACACACATATGTGACTATTTCTGTCTCTATCCAGCAATCTATCCATCTATCTGGCATATATTGCTCTGAGTATGAAAATACTTAAACATACCTTTAAAAAAATTTTTTTTAGTGTTT